AGTATATACATGCAGCCGTACCTACCGTAACGGTTATTGCAAGGTGCCTACGGGAAACTCGTCCGAAATTGCTTTTTAAGAACGAAGGCTTTTCTTCGCAGTTTTCGACCGTTTCACTTCGTTTTTTCGCCATTTTCCTTTTATATAGCGCCCTGCCAGCAGTTTAGGAAGAGTACCATATTATCGTGCCAACTGCCTTTTGTTCTCTTCTGTTACAAACCGCTTGCCCATCCTACCTACCAACTTCCCAAATTTTTCCAACTTTGCAATCGAACTCAGAAAGTACTGTTATGTAAGAAGTAGTGCATAGTTGAACATCGGCTCCTGAGTAATATTTTCTTCTTGAAATATTGTTCCCAACAATATCATTGTGGTAAGCTTTTAAGGTTCAGCATGGGCTTAATGCAATGGAAGCTATGCCGCAAATGCAACCACCACCAGTGCAACCACCTGTGACTATGGAGTTGAAGCCAGTGGTTTATAATCCTTACGCGGAACCACCACCAGAGCAAGAAACAAAAAGGCCTGTTGAAGAGCAAGAAAAACTGCCACTCGCTCAGGTAAATTTTTTTCTCACTTTGCGGGAAGTATTTTGATGGCTATAAAGAAGCGAACGTATTAGGCATGAGCGACTTCGGCACCTGTATATCTAGAGCAAGTTGGCAATTATTAATGGCGTGCTAGCGGCGCGTGGGTTTGGCGCGCCGCCAGCTTCTTTTCCATCACTCAGTAAACGCCCTAGCCGCAACGACCGGTAGAAAACAAGCTGGTACCGGGCTATTCGCCAGCCCCGACTGAGTTAGGTGATAATGACCTTGGATAAGTGCCTAAAGGCTCAAAATAATTCTTCTCTTACTGTTGGTGCAAAAGGGCAAATAGCTGCTAGCCACTGAGGAGTATAGTGATTCCATTTTTTTTATTGAAGCTATCATCATGCCATTGTAAATTTCGTTTAGCCCGAAATCAAGACGGAAGCTCCAGCTCCTCAAGAAGAAATGGATGTGAAACCATCTCGCCCAGAACCGGAGCCCCAGCCCTTAATTCAGCCTTCAGTTAATTTGTTTGATGACAGGTCTGTTTGCTTAATTTACAAACTTCTCTCAACATGTTCTAACATTTTGAAGAAGCCCTTATTCCGTGAAATTCAGGGATGATGCAACTCCTCCTATGCGAACTGATGCGGTCGAGGAAGAACAGGAGGTGCCGGAACACAGCGATGCCAAAGCCGAACCTGAAGCCGAACCTGAAGCTGAACCTGAAGTTGAAGCCTCAAACAGAACTTGAAGCTGAACCCGAAGCTGAACCTGAAGCAGAACCAGTGCCAGAAGCAGACGAGCAAGAGACGTCCCCTGAACCGCTGACCTGCTCTGGCGGAATAGCTGCAGCTGATTATTCCACGTTATCAGATGAAACGCAGCCGGCTATAGCTGTTCCTGAGGATTTGAAAGAAGAGGAAGAGGAGGAGGAAGAAGAAGAGGAAGAGCAGCTTGAGGTACTAGTCACAAAATTCTCTAAATTACTCATTTTAACCACAGTTGTGTCAGGATGCCGATGAGAAGTCAATGGATACAACGAGTCTTGCCATAGCCGAAGATGAGGAAACTAAAGCTGAGCCAGAAGAAGACACTTCAGATGAGCCAACACCTGGACCAAGCAGCAGGTTGCTTTTTGGTTTCACAGTGCTTGTGCAGTTGATATTTCAGTGACACAGATAAACAAATAGTTGTTCACTTCAGCCGCGATCCTTCACCTGAAGAGAGTGAAATCAATGAAAGCGAAACGCCCTCTGTAAAACCCGCGAAAAGATCAAGGAATAAGGATAGGGTAATTATTTTTCCTACCCTTTTCAGTTTTTTTTAATGAGATATCCTTTAATATTGCGGTGTTGTTCAGGTTGCAACTTTGTCTAAGGAAGAGGTCTATGATGACCGAGATGCGACACCCAGCGAGGTCGCTGAGTCGACAGATGGAGTTTTTACGGAACCGTCAACTCCTGCTCCTGCGGAAGGCCGAAAACCAAAGAGGCTCCCTATAGTTCGGGTAAGTCATTTAAAGTTTTACGCTGGGATTATAAAAAAATCAGTGGTCCTTTCAGAATGAAGAGGCGGGACTTGTAGTTGTTTAGGGGAATACGTTTGTCGCCCTCTTTTTTTGCAAATTTTGCCTCTAATTTGTTTTATTGACCCTTTTTTTGCAATTGCTTTTGAGTGGCGCAATTTGAAGATAACCCCGCGAGTGCATGTTATGGATAGCGGTGACTAGTCGTCAAGTGACTCGTCAGAGGAGGAAAAAGCAAAAAAAAAAGGAGAACGCAGGTAGGGGTCCCTGGCAGCATCAGTGTAAGAGTTCTGAGGGCCTGTAGGAGGGCAACGATTCCCTCTCCACGAAGAAAAGTAATAAGCCCAGGTTCACATAACGAGGTGATCCTCGTAGGTCCTTAAGTGTCAATTTGTCAAGTTCGGGGTGGGGGGGGGCTAATGAAGTATTCTGAAGTGCGATGTTTGATGTCCTTGCACGGCTATTTTCTTACAGAGTTTCTCCTTCGCTTTCTTTTACTGTAATTTAATGTCATTCCAGTCACGGAAGAAAAAGAGCGTCGATGATTCTGGCGATGATGACGATGATTTCGTGCCTGATGGACGGAGTAGAAAATCCGGTAAAAGAATTCCTTCTAAGCCAACGAAAGAAGCTGTTGATGATGACGATGTAAGCTGTTTCGATTTCAGTCCATGTGAGGATTTTCTTGAATCTTCTTTATATCTTTCTCTCTAGAAGCGTAGCACATCCAAATGGGCTGATGCGATTGACGGAGTTGATGATGACGCTGAAGATTCAATTCTGACCACGGATTCTCAAGAGACGCAGTCCAGTGATCATCAGATTGTTGAGAAGGTATGTATTTATTGCAGTTGATTGTAAGGAAGTTGACGAAACGGCAGGTGTCACCGGTGTGGAGTGAGCGCGGGTTGTATTGACCGAGTTTGTGGGCCTGGGTTGGGTTGAAATGAGAACTTGTCCATGTGCCTGCTTGAGCGCTCAAGCCAGTTACGTTACCAGATGGGGTGTCACAGTAACCCAAGCACTATATTTGGTCATACGTACTTTTGTACTAAATCAACAATTTTGCTTTCTTTTTTTGTATTCTTTCATTAGCAAAGGCTCCAGTGAAACTGTACGCGCACTTGCTCGAATCTTCGAGCCCACCTACAGCCTGTTTCATTGTTCAACTCCTCTGGGACCATTTGAGTTGAAGGCATTGTTCACAGTCTGCGACCCTGACGAAACGGCGGTTGGGAGAAAAGCAAAAAATAGTCATCGATCGGAGAATCGCCAACCGCTAGTTTCGCCGAACCGCCGCGGTTCGGCGGTTGGGCGAAAAGCAATAGATGCGTATCGATTTCGCTGGCGAAAAACGCCAGGGCGATCGAGCTAGCGTTTCGTCGAAGGCGAAAAACGTCGCGGTTTGGCGAAACGCCCGTCGATTCGTATCAAAACCCTTTCGCCCAACCGCCAGACTCTTCGCCCAACCGCCAGTCGATACGTATCGAAAGCTTTTCGCCGAACCGCCGCGTTCAGAGAAACGCTGGACCGCAGAGTGTGAACAATGCCTCACCGAGACAGTGACTCTTCCGTCGGGTTCCATTATGGCAGAGCGCAGGGAATCGGGGTGGGTGGTGAATATTGCCGCGTAGTTCCCTCGGTCTTAGTAGCCGCACATTCATATATAGACAGTTTTGCGTTTTCATCACGTTAATTGTATGTAGGGCAAAATTGTCGTTCCACTCGTCTCCCCATTCCCTCGTATTTTGTCCCTAGTCCCTCAACCGCTCAGTTGTGTCGCATTTCCTATTTTTACAGCCTTGGGGCCTTATTAGGGGTTTTGTCCTCTCATTACCTCTCTAGTAAATGAGTCATCTTCTTACATTTCATTTTTGGACCGCAACGATTTCATATTTGGACCCCAAAGCTTTTTAATTGTAGTTGCGGAATGGTGGGTTTGAGTGACATTCTTCACCCATATATCTTCTACATTCTTCATTCCGCATATGTCAGCCTGAGTGCAAGCTAACGTGTGCGTTTTGTTCTACGGATTATGGGATTTTTTTCCAGATTCTCAATCAACGTGAAGGTCCTGATGGTGGTGAACAGCAGTATCTCATCAAGTGGAAAGGCAAAGCTTATGTGCATTGCGAATGGAAAACGCTGAAGGTTTGTCTTCACGTCCCCAGTTGTGGCTGCTGTAATTGTTAGATGTATATTTAATAGGATGATGTTTTTTAAGGAATTAGAAGAAGTCGATAAGCGTGCTGTAGCCAAAGTGAAGCGATTCCGACAAAAGAAATCACACTCGAATAATGAGGTAAATTTTAGTAGGTGGAAATTTTTGTTTTTTTATAAGAGGTTTTTGAAGGTTCTATAAGTTCTTTCCTACTATAGTTATGCTTATTTCTTTTTTATTTTAGGAAGAAGAAGATTTTAATAGCGATTACACCGTGGTAGACCGTGTTGTAGATGTAGGAACTGGAGACGATGGATTAGAATATGCCCTAGTGAAATGGAAAAGCTTAGCGTATGATGAGGTCACATGGGAACCTATCGAGTCTATACCCGAGGAAAAGGTACGATTGCTCGAGTTTGCTTGTGATAAAGACGTATTGCGGGCGATGTTCGGCTTGGAGTGGGCATTTTGCGCTGTCGTTAGTTCATTTTGTTAGTTCATGGTAACTAACTGGTCTCATTTTCGGTTAGATCTTGAGCTACTATGAATCTGCGGAACTGTTCATGTGAGCGTCTTAGGTCATGGGAGTTTATAGGCCTTTCCGAGGTGGCCTGTACAGGCTCAACTGCCTGAAATTCGCTGCCCCCACCGGGCCGAACTGCTCCCGTGTTGCATATTCCTGTCAGCTATAGTTGTTCATGTTCTAGATTGCTCTGTGGAGGAAGCGGCAAATAATAGACAAAGCGAAAGTGGTGAGTATCAATTTTGCATTCGGGGTTAAACTGGATTTTCTGGAACAATTTCCGATTTTCAGAAAGAAAAGCCTCGTCCGAAAGCTAGTGAGTGGTCAAAAATGCCCGAGGATATCATTTGGAAAGATGGGAACACTCTGCGAGAATATCAGTTTGAAGGCGTAGATTGGCTGCTGTATTGCTACTACAATGAGTGGGTTTTTGTAATATTCGGTTTCCCAATACTTTAAGTCTCTTTTCACGTTTTTTTTATTCATTTGTCGTGACGTAGTACTTGACGGAAATTGTATAGTGTAATTAGCTTTACTACTGGTTTCAGGCGCAACTGCATACTCGCTGATGAAATGGGTCTTGGAAAAACCGTGCAGACAATAACCTTCCTGTCGCAGATTTATGAGTACGTTTTATGACTCGCTCCGTTCTCTGTGTTGTAACGATGTTTTATTTCTGACGCGCAGCTAATATCGAGACCTTGCTGTGGGAGATTCGTGGACAGAACACGTTGCATGCTGGGTCCGCAGGGGGAGGGGGTTGTAGTTGGGATTAGGAAACTTTATTAGTTTTTTTTCTTCTTTCATCGCGGTATTCAGAACGTTTGGAGACTGACTGGGGAGAAATCGTATTTGCTTGTTGCATCAAGAGAGGGGGGAGGGACATATCTGGCCTCAAGGATGTTTTTCCGTGCGCGAGAGAATTTTTTGCCGGTTGTTGGCTTTTCGTTGTCTTTCCCGTTTCTCATGTGCTATGCTAGCCCCCCCCCCTAGTTTGTCTGTTGGTGTGTAGTCAAAGGAAACTTGGGAGTCGCATTTTGCAATATTTTCACCAGCGACTGGAGGCGTCCTGTTCGTACATCGACAAAAGGCGCCGATAAGTTCATGGGGCTACATGACACCGTGACGAAGTGGTCCGTCCCGTGCCAGGCTCAGGCTTAGCAAAGCGCAGGTACGGAAAGTATGGGTATCGATTGTGCGTTGTAGAACCAGCTTCTCGAAGGGGAGGTCATTATGTGTCAATAAGTGCTCAAAACTTCGATTTCCCCAAAACGCTAGCGACTGGCGCTGATCGATGATCAATATAGTTGTGTTCGCTATGGACGCTGGGGCGTGTCAGGGGTTGGGAGGGCTGGGTTATGCGCAACGCCAGCCAGTTTCCGCCACATGTAGTCGTCTTTCAGCTTCCACAATTGGTAGAGGAAGGGCTGGCGCATTGCCAAATCCAGCCTCCTTGACACCCCCGGAATTCGCAGTTGCTTGAAGCGTCGATCCTCACGGGTAGCAAAGTACGAACGCACCTCAACAGATTCTGTCGCGCAGACGCGTGCCCTCACCGCCACATAGCTATAGCGGCATTGAAAAGAATGTCAACTCAGCACCTCATAATGTGTTTGAGGAGTACAAGGCTAGATTTACGTCTACAACCGCCGCTAACCATATTTTATTTTTTCCTCTTGCTTTTACTTCATTTTTTATCGATTCATTTTCTAGGTACGGAATTCATGGTCCATTTCTAATTGTTGTCCCTCTCTCCACAATACACAACTGGGTTAGAGAGTTCGAGACGTGGACAGATATGAATGCTGTGGTCTATCATGGAAG